TTCTCCTCCTTCTCGTCCTCCTCGTCCTCTCCCTACTCCACATCCTCCTCCTCATTCTCCTCCTCCTCCTCCTCCTCCTCCTCCTCCTCCTCCTCCTCCTCCTCCTCCTCCTCCTCCTCCTCTTCCTCCCCCTCCCCCTCCGACGAGGATTCCTTCTCCATCCTCCCCCTCTTGGGGTACGTGACAGCTTCCCCCGCCCTTTGTTATTCTGCATGCTCCCCGACTTCCCTGATCACCTCAACTACCCTGGGCATCTTTTCTGGATGGGCTGGTGAGGATACGCGAAGCGTCAACAAGTTCGATACTCTTGACATGCTCGCATAACTGCTGCACACCGCGCTTGCCGCACGGCTGCCGGTAGATGTAGTAGGAGTCGCAGTGGAACTGCTGCACACCGCGCGAGGCCGCGCGGCTGCCGGGTCGCCAGACACCGCCCAGGTAGTCCAGTTTGTGCGGGTACGCCAATCCCCGCGCCGTGGATGCCGGCCTGCTCCCCGCAAGATGGCGCGCAGCCCCCGCCACGGGGCGCGCCAAGCAGACCTCCGCGCGGCCGCAGCGGAGGCGGGAGCTGGCCAGGGCGAATCGGCCAGCTCCGCTACCATCAAGTAGCGGGCCGCCGCCCGCGATCGTTTCTGGTTTTCTGGGCCGTAAACTCCAGAGCTCTGTGAACCAAATGTCAGCGGTCTGAGCGGGTGAGAGCGGCAGCGGCAGGGGCAGGCTGGGAAAAGGGATGATCGCAGATGCATTTCAACATCCTCCTCTTCGCCCTGCTCCTCCTTCTCAATCCGATTCCGATTCCGATTCCCATTCCTTCTCCTTTTCCTCTCCCTCCCCCTCCCCCTCCTCCTCCTCCTCCTCCTCCTCCTCCTCCTCCTCCTCCTCCTCCGCCTCCTCCTCCTCCTCCTCCTCCTGCTCTTGGTCCTCCTCCTCCTTCTCCTCCTCGTCCTCCTCGTCCTCCATTCCTTTTCCTTATAGATAACTTCTCCCTGTGGCACCCCGACGCCAGTTGTTAGAGCTGGCGGGGCGTTTCGCACGAGACTTCCTCACCATTTATGACCCCGAAGCATCGAAATTGACAACAGTTTCCCAAATGGAGGGCGGGTCGTTTCCACAATGTGGGCCTCGCCTTAGCGCCGCGCGCATTCGTTTTCAAGATTGTCAGAGTTTCACGGGTTGAGGGCGGGCCGTTTTCAAAATCTGGTTCTGGCTTCAGCGCAGCGCACACCCGTCTTAAAAATGTATAAGAGCTTCATGGATTGAGGGCGGCTCCTTTTCAAGATGTGGCTCCCGCCTTAATGCCGCGCACATTCGTGAATAAAATGCACAAGCGTTTCACGGCATCCCATGATCAAAATACCAGAAATGGTGTTTTGGATGGGTTCAGGATTATGAGGGCGCAACAGTTACGTTCATTCGCGGTGTTGAAGTCCCAAGAACAGCGTTCTGGCAACATTCATGATCGTCAAAACGCAACACTAAGGTCGATCCGTGGCGTTGGAATCCCGAGAACAATGTTTGGATATGCTTCAGGGTCTTCTAACGATTGTCGTCCAACGACGCAGTTCCCTCAATGGAAATGAACCGTTGTATGGGGCCTCTGAAGAGGGAGCTTGGAGGGAGGGTTTATTCCAACATCGTTGGGACAAACATCGTTGGGAGCTGGTTTAAGCCCTAAGCTCTTGGGTTTACCCTGGTCCTCCTCCTCCTCCTCCTCCCCATTCCCGCCCTCCTTCCTCCTGCTCCCTCCGCCTCCCTACCCATTTTCACACTTCGACAGAGGGGGCAGGAGGGCCAGGTTCGTCAAGAAAGCCCCACCAGTTACACCACCACGACTGCAACCACACCAGCACCGCGCCAACCGCACCACGGCGACAACGACCAGCACCACAGCACGCAGCCAACGACCAGCGCCACGGCACGCGCCCACAGCGACCAGCACCACAGCGGCAGCACACAGCACCACAGCGACCAGCACCATAGCGACCAGCACCACCGACAAGCACCACAGCACGCACCCAACGACCAGCACCACAACGAAGACAACGACCGCGGCCAGCAGCAGCACCACAGCAACACAGCGGCGGCGACCAGCAGCCCCAAGAGCAGCAAGCACAGCCAGCAACACCACAGCGACCACTGAGGGAAAGACCACGAGACCAGCAACACCACGCCAGCAGCACACAGTACCAAGACCAGCACCACGGCGGCGATATTTACCAGCACCACAGCGACGACCAACACCACAGCGACCAGCGCGACAGCGACCAACACAGCAGCAGCAGCAGCAGCAGCAGCAGCAGCAGCAGCAGCAGCGACAGCAGCAGCAGCAGCAGCAGCAGCAGCAGCAGCAGCAGCACACAGCACCACAACGACCAGCACCACAGCGACCAACACCAACGACCAGCAACACAGCACGCACCAAACGACCAGCGCCACAGCACGCACCCAACGACCAGCACCACAGTGACGATCAGCACCACCACAGCACCACAGCACGCAGCCAACGACTGCGGACGGCAGCCCCCTGGCAGCAGCAGCAG